AGAATGAATACTGATAGAAGCAACAACAGGAACAAATAACAAAGACAGTAGGTGAAGTGAAAGAAAAGAATAAATATATACTGTACGATTCCATTTATATGAAGTTTAAGAACAGTCTGCGATGACAGAAACCTAAACGGTGATTGGAAGGCATGAAAGTACAAATGGTATTTAAAATTATGAGACTGTTTATGGCAATTCATATAACTTAAAAGTGAGCTGGGTAGGGGCCAGCCCCGGTGGCCTAATGGTTAAGTTTGGCACGCTCCGCTTCCTCGGCCCAGGTTCAGTTCCCCGGTTCTGACCTACAGCACTCATCTATCAGCAGCCATGCTGTGGCAGCAGCTCACATACAAAATAGAGGAAAATTGGCACCAGATGTTAGCTCAGGGCGAATCTTCCTCAGCAAAGAGAGGAAGATTGGCAACAGATGTTAGCTCAGGGCAAATCTTCCTCAGCAAAAAATAAATAAATAAACAACCTGTGTAAAAATGTTAATTCCAAATTTGATACTTAGAGTTAATCTGAATTGGTAATTTTCCCCTTTAATTTCCATCACTCCTATGTATTATATTAAAAGTGTGTTGGTATTACAATGCCTAACAGCATTCATTACAGGCACTCAGATATTTTTTGGGTGAATTATGAACTTTTAGAGCTGGGAAAGACCCTCAGAGATAAACCAATATGCTCATTATGACAGATGGCTAAATAGAGTTCCAAAGTTTACTGATTTGCTCAAGGTCACCCAGTTAGTTAGGAAGTGCACTAGATTAGATCCCAGATACCCAGACACTTGGTCTAATAAATTTCCCTCCCCATGTTTTCTTGTTCTGAATAAGTAACTGTGACTCAATAAAGTAGAGGAAAATCTTGCCCATTTGTTAACTATACAATAACCTTACCTCTTCAGAATGCAGCTAAGAATTAAGAGTCAAAATAGGTCTTTGGGTAGACGTGAGCAGTCATAAAATCCATGTAATCAAGTTCACGGATTTCAGTAACTAGCCAAGTCCCTGCAAATGCTTGTTCTCATCTGACACATGTAAATAGCATTCTAGGACCATTAGGTTAAACAGGCAGAGGCCCACCCAAGCACAAATTCTTATTAGCACCTTAGACCATCAACAGAGAATAGGGCAACACAATACAGTCATGTGTCACTTAAGAACAAGGATATGTTCTGAGAAACGTGTCATCAGGCGATTTTGTCATTGTGCGAACATCACAGACTGTACTTACACAAATTTAAACAGTAAAGCCTACTACACACCTAGGCCACGTGGTACTAATCTTACGGGACCACCTCATATATGCGGTTCATCCTTGACCAAAACATCCTTATGGGGCACCTGACTGTATAAATATAGGTAAAATATAAATGATAATAATAATTATAGGAATCTTTTTTAGGTTTTTTTGTTCCAGATACTATGCTGGTTATCTTTTAGTATAACTCTTCATTTCTAATCCTTACAACAATCCCTTAAAGTATGAACAATATTATTCCCATTTTTCACATGTGAAACAGAGGCCAAAGAGGTTTAATATCTTGATCACAATCACATCAGAACTAGCAGGGCCAGGACTGGAACCTAGTTCTGCCTGAATCCAAAGCCAGTATGCTTTCAACTACACCACAGGAAAAAGTGAAATTATATTCTACATACTCCTATGAGATGCTAAGGGAATTACGTGTTACAATTATCATCTAAAATGTTTAAATTCTTGACCTTGGAATAAGTACTTGGGGAAAAATTCATAACTTGATGGTGGATAAACCAAAGCAGTAAATGACGTCTTACACTCTCAATTCATGAAAATAATGATATAGCTGTAAATCGGCTGCTATGCAAAAATATAGAAACAATATTTTCTTACGTCAAGAATGACGTTCACCTTACACAAAAATATTCTAAGTATATTTTGTTCAACCTAATTCCTTAAACAGTTTTATTTATTTATTTTTTGTGTGTGTGAGGAAGATCAGCCCTGAGCTAACATCCATGCTAATCCTCCTCTTTTTGCTGAGGAAGACCAGCTCTGAGCTAACATCTATTGCCAATCCTCCTCCTTTTTTTCTTTTTTTCCCCAAAGCCCCAGTAGATAGTTGTATGTCATAGTTGCACATCCCTCTAGTTGCTGTATGTGGGACGCGGCCTCAGCATGGCCGGAGAAGCGGTGCGTCAGGGCGCACCCGGGATCCGAACCCAGGCCGCCAGTAGCAGAGCGTGCGCACTTAACCGCTAAGCCACGGGGCCAGCCCTCAACATAATTTCTTAAGAACATCATTTTAAATAAAATTGAGTCAAGAAGAAAAACACTTGTTCTTTGAAAATAAAAGGCAAAAGTTAGAAGAAAATGTAAGATCTGAATGTCAGCCTTGTGTCTGAAAACCTCAGGAATAATTTCCAATACCATCTTATTATTCAGCTTTTAAGAATATTAAATTTTTAAAAATCATATGTCATAAAACGGCAATGACAGATGAGAAAAATGAAAAAAAAATGAAATTGACAACACATCTTACATTTTTGTCGTAAAATTAAACTTCCTCCCTCATCAATCTTAAACCAGATTTCACAAAAGTAATGAAACTGATTAGCTTGAATTTTATCCCCACTAATTTTGCAAATGAAGTACCACAGCACTTTAGATAGGACCAATCCAAGAAATGTTCACCGTAAGGGAATTCCAAGAAGAACGGCAATTCCAAGAAGGCAAAAAGGGGGAGAAACAAATGATAAAAATCTATCCCAAATCTACCAAGAATGCTTCCCACTCCACTACACCCACTATAACGAATAATTAAAGAGCCTATTCCTCTTGGGGGGTGGTGGGGGAGCTCAATCATTCCAAGGCCTCTCTCTCTTTTTTTTTGTGAGAAAGATCAGCCCTGTGCTAACATCTGCCAATCCTCCTCTTTTTTTGCTGAGGAAGACTGGCCCTGGACTAACATCCATGCCCACCTTCCTCCACTTTATATGGGACGCCGCCACAGCATGGCTTGACAAGTGGCGCGTTGCTGTACGCCTGGAATCCGAACCGGGGAACCCCAGGCCGCCGCAGCAGAGCGTGCACACTTAACCACTTGCGCCACCAGGCCGGCCCCCAACGCCTCTCTTTAAGTTACAAAAAGTTCTCTGCACCCAAAGATACTGATCACTTCTCTTCAACAAACAGATGCTATTCTTTGTAACGCTCCCTTTTTCCTAGCAGAGAAGTTGTTATAGTTTCAGTACCAGCTGAAGTAAACAAGCAAGCCCTGAGATACAATTTTACCGTCTCAGAGAAAATCCAACAGCCAATAAATTCCTTTCTAAAAACATGGCCCCAGGGGCCGGCCCAGTGGAGTAAGCGGTTAAGTGCGTGCACTCCAATGCGGAGGCCCGGGGTTTGCTGGTTCGGATCCCAGGTGCGCACCAACGCACCGCTTGTCAAGCCATGCTGTGGCGGCGTCCCATATAAAGTAGAGGAAGATGGGCATGGATGTTAGCCCAGGGCCAGTCTTCCTCAGCAAACAAAGAGAAGGATTGGCAGATGTTAGCTCAGGGCCTATCTTCCTCGCAAAAGAAAAATAAAAAAAATAAAAATAAAAACATGGCTCCATCCTTTCTCATAGACTTCAAAATCTAACTGGTGAAGGACATGAAACCAAGAAAAGAAATATCTTTAATTATGAGAATCAGAGAATCTCAGAGTTTCTTAATCTAGGAAAGTATACTACGTTTTTATGACCCTGCTTAGGGAAATAACTACCCAGCTAATTTCTATTATTTCATATTAGGTGGGTTCAGAGTACTAAACTTGGTCATTTTTAGGATATAAACCAATGAATAAATGTGCAATTCTATTGGCAGAAAATGCTTTACATTTTTAGAAGCAATATAAGAATATACCTCTAAGAATGTCCCAACAAGCCTAGAAGTCACACACTCAAATACGTGGGTACCTAACGCTTAACTAAACATAGTATGTTCCTAATAAAAATTCCTGCTTGACTTGCATGATTAAAAACAATTCAAGATATCGTTTGGTAAAACATACCCTTTCATATCCCTTTGGGTGAACAAACTCACTTTCACCATCATGCATTTGACTGTTAAGAAGGAAAGCTATATTTCTGAGCTTTATAAAGTACCAATTACGTATTTCACATGGCACATCATTTTACACGTGTGGAATATATCAGATTAAGAATTAATGGATTAATATATAACAGACAGAAACAATTATAGATACGTGTGTATACATGGGTTAGCACACACGGATGTATACATGCATATGTTACCCAGCTCTGTCCACTGAGAGGGCCTAGAAGCAACAACACCCCAGTAACAATGAGCATACCCAGCTCCAGATTCTGATTTCTTTTTTTTTTTTTTTTTTTTGTTGGAAAAGTCCGCCCTGGTCAACATCTATTGCCAATCCTCCTCCTTTTTTTTCCCCAAAGCCCCAGTAAATAGTTATATGCCATAGTTGCACATCCTTCTAGTTGCTGTACGTGGGACGCGGCCTCAGCATGGCCGGAGAAGCAGTGTGTCGGTGCACGCCCAGGATCCGAACCTGGGCTGCCAGTAGCGGAGCGCAGGCACTTAACCGCTAAGCCACCGGGCCGGCCCCAGAGATTCTGATTTCTAAATACCATTCTCCAACAAAAGGAACTAGGGCTCCTTGGAAAAATGGTTGATTCTAGGGCTGGGACAGGAAAACTAAAAGATGAAGCTGGAGTACCTCTATAGGACCTAAAAGTAAGAAAGTGCTCAAGTCTACATTTTAACTCTTGTTTTTCATAACAGGAGAATATCTGTTCAGCAAAGGAAAAAAATCCTATTATCACTAGACTGTCCATGTGTGATTAATGACTGTTGCCACTTCCCTTTTTTACCCCAAAATATGCAACCTTGCAATTCACCAATCTCCAAAAGTGCACAAAGTAAAGAGGGGACACATATAAAAGACAAAAATAGTTAGGGGTTAGTCACAAAAATAAATCATACCGTGCAAAATTCAAGCTTTTTACCAGTTCATCTAATACACGGTTATTTTTCAGGTCCGGCTCTGTGACTGTCTAGAAAAGAAAAACAACAGATGGAAAAAGGTCAGAAACAGTAATTAACTTGTCATAATCTTATTTTGAAAATGTGTGACCCATCCTCCTGAGACTCCTCATCCCACTAAGTCTTCCAGGAAAGCCTCCAAATAAAGTTCATTTATCTCATACTAATATGGAATTTTAAAACAACAGTGAATCAGTATCTGCTGACTGGAAGTCTCATAAAAACTTTCCAAAGCACCTGGTAAAATCATATATACTCTGTACCGACTAAGATAAAACCTAATATGAGCAAGAATCCTTCTTGAAAATGCCAGCACTAGGCTTTCTCAAAAATTTCTCCTGAAAAGCAGGCAAGAGATTGTTACGGAACCAAGTGGGCTCGCCTCCTGGTGAGTTAAATAAGACTCTACGCCAGTGGAAGTTGTCTCACAAAGTTAAGTGTATTAGCAGCAAATAGGAGGCCATGAGGAATCATTTCCAAAGGCATGGTGTCCCCCAAGAAAGGGAAGCAGGAACTTTTATTTTGGTTGGGGAATGAATACTCAAAAGGGAGAGGCAGGTATTTGCTTGGCACAGGCTCAGTTGGAGAATGTGCTTCCAAATAATGAGGCCTAAGCTCCTCCTAGAGAGATCTTTGCATTAAAAATAAGGCAAAGGTCATGGGCCATAGCTCTTGTGATGAGGCTTGGTCAGTTTCAGGATGGCTGGTGGTTACATCTCTTTAACATACAAAAGGAAAAGAAACAACTTGGAAAAACAGTTCATTGCTTCCAAACCCACCTTTGGAGCCCAGTTGGTGACAAGATGTTTGTTCTTTTATGTGATAATATTAGGAGAGACATAAGGTGTTCAAAGAGTTTAAAAACAAGACTGGTGTTCAGGAATACAAGAGGAAAATGATAAATCTAGTACTTACTCAGCAGGAAGGGTACACAGTTTATCACCATGATGATACCATCCTGACAAAGGCAGTGTACCATGAGTCATAAAGAGCTTAGACTCGAGAAACAAACTGGATCATTTCTTACGAAGCATTCTTACATAATAGTTCAGAGAAGTTCAATGACATCCAGACACCACCTACCTACCAGAGGTGCCAAACTAGAACCTAAACCCTTTAGTCCCAGTGTCCTTTCTATTAGACCTTACTGTCTCTTTTTCTTCTTTCTTTATTCCTACTTATGTTTTCTTTGCCTTTTTACCTTCTTTTTCACCTATTTCAACTACTTGAAATGCTTCAGAAACCATAACAGCAAATTTCCCAATGTTTTCCCATAAGGCCTTGTCACTGACTAGGCACCTCAAGAAACTCAAAGGTGGGTTTGGAAGCAAGTCACTGTTTTTCCACCTTGTTTCTTTTCCTTTTCTATGTTAACCAGATGGAACCACCAACCATCCTGAAACTGACCAAGCAAGAAACTCAAGGGAGATGGAACCACCAGCCATCCTGAAACTGACCAAGCCTCACCACAAGAGCTATGGCCCATGACCTCTGCCTTATTTTTAATGCAAAGATCTCTCCAGGAGGAGCTTAGGCCTCATTATTTGGAAGCATGTTCTCCAACTGAGTCTGTGCAAACAAATACCTGCCTCTCCCTTTTGAGTATTCACTCCCTAACCAAAATAAAAAGTTCCTGCTTCCCTTTGTGGGGGTCACCACGCCTTTGGAAATGATTCTTCATGGCCTCCTATTTGCTGCTAATACACTTAACTTTGTGAGACAACTTCCACTGGTGTAGAGTCTTATTTAACTCACCAGCAGGCAAGCCCACTTGCTTCAGTAACAGCCTGGTTTGGGAAGGGGGAAAGGGACCAGTTAGGCTGGGTTCAGCCCAACGGCCATGAATCTTTGCCTTCTGCACAAATACTTACACCAGTCATTTGCAAATGAATAATCCTACTATCCGATTTTCTACCCAACTTGAGAAATTTTAAAAAATTAGGAGCCATAAAAACACAGGTCATAAGATTTAGAATGCTACATCCTGATCTTAAAATTAGTTTTTACTTCCTAATAAAATACATTTAGGTTATCAGAAATCTGAATAAAAAATTGAACAAAGCCCAATTCTCCATATATGTATTTAAGAGGTCCTTTCTGAAAATGTCTTTTACATAGCTTAATTCAATAATTACACATCTTCCCTTGCGCTTTTATGTATACATAAAGCAGAAATATTTACACCAATCAGTAAGTTTAAAAAAAAAAAAAAAGGAAAGAAAAACTCACCACACAACAAGTTGGACACTGTGTTTTATAGGACAGAAATTTTCTTATACAGAGAGAACAGTCTGCAAAAACATAGATGCAATATAATAAATTAGTTAAGCTATATTAATAACACAGGAACCTGACTTCTAACAAAACTGACAATTCCAAAAATATTTACATCATCTAAGGTATAGCATTATGATCTCAAAATTCTAGTACCTCTACTCTACCTATGCAAATTTGCAAATGTGCTTAAATCGGCCTTTTTAGGAGAAGGAAACATATCAAATAATAATAACCATGAGTCTCTAGGATATCACAACACCATAAGCAACATGCATCACTCAGTATCCTCCATCTGTAAAATGTAGGAAACCTACAAGGAAAACCTAGGATGGATATTGTATAAACATGTCATATATCTCCACTGCCTAACACTCTAAAATATAGATTTTGAAGTAAGATATTTATACACGTTAAGAAATAATATAGATGATGTAATCTATGCAGAAATAGAAGTATGATGATGTACACCTGAAATTTTTACAATGTTATAAACCAATGTTACTGCAATAAACAAAAAATTAAAAAAAAAATTAACAGCAGTTCAAAAAATAATAATAATAATAATAATAAAAAAAAGAAATAATATATACCCAAGGTATCAAATTAGGGATTTCTACCTCCTAACTCTGTAAATGACATCCATTATCCCATATTTAACAAGTCCTTTCATGGCAAGCGCTAAGAAAAGAACAATATATAAGGGAAAGTTCTTGACTTCAAGGTGCTAACAAAGTAGTGCGGCAATTATAGTACAATTCAGTGTAATAAGTTGCAAGGATTCAAGTAGGAAATCAGCATTAACTACATTCTTCACATCTCAGGCAGTGTAAAATGATCTCCCAAAGAAAAAAACAGATGTGACCAAGAGAATGGTACCTTACTGGTAGCTAATGTGCCATTAGCCCAAATTCAGCTTAGTGAAGGGACCTCATTAGAAAGGACTCAGTTCAGTTAAGGGGGAGAAGACAGTGTGACTTCAGGTACAGATATCCAGGAAATGAGTAAGTCATGTCAGCCTCAACAAGAGCATCCAGGAGGAAAAATGAAACAACATTATAAAAAGGATAAAACAGGCAACCGGTTAAGCAAAGATGAATAAAGGGAGACTTCTGGTTTCCAATTTGGCATGTAAGGAGCTTGGAAGTTGTTATTCTATCTAACAACAAGTCAAAAGCTGAACAGACTGAAAAATCAACAACTCCTTTTAGATCCATCAGAGAAATGAGGTCACAGGGCAAACTGCTGCCCCAAAAACTGAAGAGACAGACAGGATACAAAGAATCACAATTTACCAGAGCAAGAACTCATGAGTAGAAACTTCCATAGGAACCGGAGAAGGAACCTCTGCTGGAATCACTGCTGGGGTAGGAAAACTGAACTGTAACTGATGAATTGCTGGCAGGGCTCAGTGTGAGTAAGTCTGAGAGTCAAAACTCCAGGGAGACTCAGACACCAGGGGGCCTCACACTTATGTGAGTTTTTGCTCCAAGAGTTCTACCAGGTTCTCAAAGTGCCTATCAGAGAAAAATCTCCTAGACCTACTACAGCAGGAGGGGAAAGTAACCATTTGAAATTCACCAGAGCACTCTGTTCTTAATAAGGCCTGCCCTCAAGAGCAACTATTTCAGGGGCCCGCCACATGGCAAAGCAGTTAAGTGCTCACACTCTGCTGCTGGTGACCTGGGGTTCGGATCCCGAGCACGCACCAATGCACTGCTTATCAGGCCATGCTGGGCCAGTCTTCCTCAGCAAAAAGAGGAGGATTGGCGTGGATGTTAGCTCAGGGCTGATCTTACACACACACACACACACACACACACACACACCCCCGAGAGAAACTTATTTTACCAGAGCCAATTCTAACAGGGTTTTATCAGAGCCCAGCTGACCTGGGGGCAGGGAAATAACCAACTTCAGCTACCTCTAGCCATCCTGTCCCACCTAAGGTGGGGGGACTTTTGGGGGAGGCCACAAAGGGACAGAACAAACGAACAATGACTGAGAAGCACTTATGAAGTTCACAGTCCAGGGCACAGGCTCACCAGAAGACCTAGACATGATGGTAGGACTACAGAATGCTTCCCCTCCCCCACACCTCACCACCACATCACTAAAGGGCTGTTTAGTGCAGTGCCTTTACCCAGTACATCATGTCTCACTGTTTGGAAAAAATTATAAGGAGTACCAAAAGGCAAAAAACACAGTTTGAAGGAACTGCAAGCATCAGAACTAGTCAGTTTTGGCAAGAATGTTGGAATTATCAGACCAGGAATTTCAAACAACTATGATTAAAGACTTTAATGGACAAAGTAGACACATGCAAGGACAGATGGTAATGTAAGCAGAGAGATGGAAATCCTAAGAAACACTCAAAAAGAAATGCTAGAGATCAAAAACCTGTAACAGAAATGAAGAATGCCTTTGATGGGCTCATTAATAGATTGGACACAGCTGACGAAAAATCTCAGTGCTTGAACATATCTCAATAGAAACTTCCAAAACTGACGAGCAAAAAAAGAAAAAACACCAAAAAAAAAAACCAAACAGAATATCCAAGCACTGTGTGGCAGCTATAGAAGGTGTAACATATGCATAGTGGCAATCCCAAAAGGAGAAGAAAGAAGTAGAAGAATATTTGAAGCAATAATAACTGAGAATTTTCCCCAAATTAATGTCAGACACCAAATCACAGATCCAGGAATCCCAGAGAACACCAAGCAGGAAAATGAAAAAAACCCTACAATTGGTATATCATATTCAAACTGCAGAAAATCAAAGACAAAAAAATCTTGAAAGAAGCCAGAGGGAAAAAAACACCTTACAAGGAACCAGCCCCATGGCCTACTGGTTAAGTTCAGCACGCTCTGCTTTGGCGGCCCGGGTTCATGGGTTCCGATCCTGGGTGCTGACCTACACACCGCTTATCAAACCATGCTGTGGCAGGTGTCCCACAAAAAAGCTCAGGGCCAATCTTCCTAAAAGAGGGGGATTGGCAGCAGATGTTAGCTCAGGACTAATCTTCCTCACAAAAAATAAATAAATAAAAAATAATTTTGAAGTGTCTGGCTAAACGCAGAAAATCTAGTACCAAGTCTGAAAAAAACAGGAGGTTCTGGAAAGCTGAGAAGGCTGGCCTCTGCCTCCACTTCTAGTGTTAAGTGACCAGTTAGCTGATAAGAGAATACCCCTCCAACTAAAGACCAGCACTCCAGCACTTGCAGAAGTACAGTTCTGCATAATTTTATGTCCCTTCTACGTGTATGGCTGTCTTCTCCCCTGTCTTATTTCACAGTGCTGCCTCATAAGAACATAAAAGAAGAGAAACACATTATTTCCCAAAAAGAATCTTATATTACCTCTTAATTCAGCAAAAGTCAGTAAATGGAATATTTCATATTTCACTTTCTTTAAAAAAAATGAAATTGCTTTTTATTCACACACAAGCCTCAATTCATTTTGTGAGTCAAAATCCACAAAAGGAAAAGAAAAATGATTGCTGGTCCATCTTTAAAATAGTGGTAATTAAACAGTGTCTTCCAGCCAATGATTTCATCTAGGAATAAATATTTTCAGCATCTTCCATTATCAAGTCAGAAAAACTGTGTAAGTGCAAGGAAAATTGACACTTCAGCAAATCAATCTATTAGTGAGAACATTTCTCACTTAATGGTGTTTTCTGGATTGGATTCCCTCTCTCCCAAAAAAGTACTCTTTAACAGCAAGAATGTGTATCAATTTAAAATACCTGCATTCTGCCAATGCACCCCACTCAAACCTTAATAACAAAGAACTGCAAATGTAGTGTTCGTTACTCATATCCAAAAAACTAAACAGAGCAAAACAGAATAAAGTGATTTAAAATGATAAATCCTGCAATGTTTAAGGAGCAACAATAGTGGCTAGGATTCTGGGTCATCAATTCTAGTCAATCCAGGACAACAGCAGAACATGATAGCTAGATCTGGCTCCTACTAAGCTGTAGGGGCTTTTGTGTCATTAAAACAATACTACTGACCCAGAGCAACTTTTAATCTTGAGGGAGCCTGTAACAACTGATGTTTAGTAGAAAAGGCCTACCAAATCATGAGAGGTACAATATGAAAAATAAGTGCTTATAAAATAAATTATCATTATTGAAAGTACCTTCCACTGACTTCCTCTTAGATGAAAAATGATATCAGTGACAATTGTAAGTGACAAAGAAGCCAAAAAAAAAAAAAAAAAAAAAGAATGGAAGGAAAGGCTAATATTTCAGCTAAGTAGAGTTTGGTGAATTAATAACAACTAAAGTCTTTCTTTCCTAAAATGACATAATTAAAATATATAGAAGGGACTTCCATCTCTATCCATGAGAAAGTAAGAGTCCAGAATTACTCTCCTTCCATAAACAACTAAAACGCTGGGGGAAAATATGAAACAATTATTTTCAGACTTTGGACAATGACAGAAATGAGAGGAATTCTACCACAGCCCAAGCTTTCTGCCTGGAGGCAATTTCTTGACCACAGTGCAAGGAGGAGAGCCAAACAGTCAATCAGTCTCGCTAGCTGAAGAAACAAAGATCAGAGTTCAGGGCAATGCAGGTAGCTAGAACTTGTAGGGCAGAATCCCAGAAAGAAAGAGGCGACATACAGGATGACCTCCAGAAATATGAATATGGATCCATCCAATATGAATATCGATTCTATGACTGAATGCAAATCTGCACATGCCCAGGGTGAAAATCCATGAGGCCAGAAAAAGGACAACTTCCAGGGAAAGAACAACTGGAAAGATCACACACGGCCAGGAGTTCTTAAAATGTCTACCAGCCAGTTTGCAGGGACCTTACTGAATGCGTGGGCATTTGGTAGACACTTTAGAACATTATACCTTAGTATGAGAGTGAATTAGCCATAGAGAGAGGGTAACGTGAACAAGATGGCGGAATAGGAGGCAAGACCTCCTTTCCCCATGGAGACATCCATTCCACAACAAAACATGAACCAATTGTGAGAAATCCAAGTACCAGTTA